TGGCCAATGCTGGGAGGTGTGGCAGGTGAGGCTGGGCTTACCGCCCCTGCTTGCAGCCCTTCAGCCTCCTACTGGGCCATGCCATGCGCCTGCCTCGGTAAAGGAGTTGCCTGGGCTGAGGTATGTGGGCCCTGGGGCGGCACAGCATCAGCAGGGGCTCTACCAGGCAGGTTGTCTGGAGCAGTGAGGGCAGGCCTCCTTGGTGAGTATGTGCCCCAAGCTCCAGGGGGCAAAGAGAGAGGACTGCAGGAGCTCATGAAGGTCATCTAATCTTGCCAGCACAGAGTGCCGCCCACAGGGTTCACTGAGCACTGAATGTGCCTTGCTGGTCGGGCAGTGCCCTTGCCACCCTCACATCAGAGTCGGACCTGGGATCACTGTGTTCTTGCATCCTTGGAGTGGGGAATGGGAGTCTGACTTGAGCTGTAGGAGGCATGGAGGGTGAGGGCATGGAGATACAGCAAGTGTGCAGCTCAGGACATGGAGGAGGGAAGGGCCACAGGCCAGGACACGATGAGTCTGTGGGTCCCATTGGATGTGAAGGCTGGTGATGTTGGAGATGGTTCAAGGGGGACAGAGAAAGAAGGAGGGGAGATGCCCACATCCAGAGTCAAGGGTGAGGATTGCCTGGGGCAGGAGCAGCGCTGGGAGAGTGTGTGTGTGCCACGTCTGAGCACGAGTGCTCATTATCCCTGCTGGGCAGAATTTGGGGGCCACATGTGCTCCTGGTGTCAAGGTGGATATTGGGGTGATCTAGAGCAGGAGTGCAGAGGTCAGAGGGGTCCTCACACAGTCTACTGCCAGGGGCACAGCTACCTGGGGCCACTCAGTGTTGAGTGGTGAGGAAGCAGTTGGAGTTTCCCTAGGGAGAACACAGCACATTTATTTGTTTGCAAGAGCACAGAGAAGGTGAGGCAGAGAGAGAGAGATCTTCCATCTTCTGGTTCACTCCCCAAGTGGCCACAACAGCCAGGGCTGAACCAGGCTGAAGCCAGGAGCCAGGAACTTCTTCTGGGTCTCCCATATGGGTGTAGGGGCCCAAGCACTTGGGCCATGGTCTTGCCCTGGCCCAGGAGGGCCACAAGAGCCTAAGGTAAGGCCAGTGAGCTGGTAAATGGGCAGTAGGAGAGGGCATGGGCTAGGCTATGACAGGGGGAAGGGACCAGGTACCCTGTGTACCTAGGGGCCCCAGGAAGCAGATAGGTCCTGTCCCAAGACTCAGGTCTCCTGAGTGCTTCTGTACCCACCCTGACCATCTTGAAGACACAAAGATCCAGGCCTCTTCAGCTGTCCTGTTTTCCCTAGGAGGCCATGCAAAGAGCCCAGGCCATAGCCACATGTGGAGACCACACAGCATCCTGGGGTGGGCCCAAGAGGCCTGACCATGGAGAGTACAGCTGCGTGGGGAATAGGCCAGCTCAGGGGACAGCTACATGTGGGTTAAAACTGAAGGAGCTGGTCAACAGGGTCCGCGTGCTGCACTGCAGCTTCTCGGGCTTCCGGTCAGGGTTGGAGTAGCAGGTGGAGATAGGGGTCACTGTAGAGGATTTTTCCTAGGCAAGGAATTTCTCCCACGGCTAGGCTGGATATATGGCAACAGGAGCTCACAGAGACTAGATCCTCTGTCTTGTTAGCAGGAATGCACGGGTCAGGGATTTGGGCTGGCCTGTGTTCCCAAGCCCTGTGGGGTTTCCCCTTATCATGGGATCCTGCCCATGGCTTAGTGAGCTCTGGCTGCCTCCTGCCACTTCTGTATCCTGGACATAGCCATCACAGCCTGGGAGGAGCATCAGCGATGGGTACAGAGCCATGGGAACGATGGCTGAGAGCTGCAGCGGGAGTCACAGGAGGCCACGGCTTGGACGTGGGTTTGCTAGAGACACATTCGACATCTGACTCACTCCTTCCAGCTGCAGACTCCATGGGAATCCAGACCCAGGAGACATGACAGTGCAGGAGGGCCCTGGGGCGTGGCTGCAGTGGCCCATATGTGAACACCTCATCTGCTTGTTGCATGTCTGTTCATAGCTGATGGGCGGTGCAGGGGACATCAAAGGCATTATCATGGTACTCCTTCCAGAATGAGGAACATTCATAAGGTCTGACCAGGTGTGCTGGTGAATGTTTAGCAAGCTAGGAGTCCAATTTTTAGGGGGAAATTATTTGCACAACTTACCAATTTCCGTGGTCTAAGTAATCTTTTTTTAAAAAAATTATTTATTTATTTGAGAGAGAGAGTTATAGTCAGTGAGAGGGAGAGACAGAAAGGTCTTCCTTCCTTTGGTTCACTTCCCAGATGACTGCAACGGCCGGAGCTGTGCCAATCCGAAGCCAGGAGCCAGGAGCTTCAGTCTCCCATGCGGGTGCAGGGGCCCAAGGACTTGAGCCATTTTCTACTGCTTTCCCAGGCCATAGCAGAGAGCTGGATTGGAAGAGGAGCAGCCGGGACTAGAACCAGTGCCTGTATGGGATGCCAGCACCTCAGGCAGAGGATTAACCTACTGCACCATGGCACCGGCCCTGGTCTAACTAATCTTATCATGACTAATTTCAGTCTACATAGCATTCAACAACTGATTTGCAAAATTTCTGAAAATTTGACAACTGGTTCTTCTAAGACTCTAGCACACCACTGGGTACTTGTCAGAGGCAGGGATCAGAGTTCAGGTCCAAGATCCACCCCTGCTTTGCCCGAGATGAAGGCTGTTGGTTCCCCTCCCCTGAGGTGGGACAGCAAACAATGCCCTGCTGCTGGATCGGAGTCAGGGTGTTCTCCCTGAATCAGACACTGTGGGTCAGGAGCTGACCAGGGCCGAAAGCGTCTTCCATCAGGCACAGCAGACCACACAAAGGGCCAAAAGCCTAGAGGTAGAGGTAGAGGTTGGTGGGTGGGCAGGAATTGGAAGGTGAACTGAGCATCTGTGCCCTTCAAGGATGGTCCGGCCAGAGCCCAGGACCAGGTTCTGCATGTTCAGAGGGTGCTGGAGGAGGTGGGAACTCATGAAGGGGCTGCAGTGAGGCTGGCACTTCAAGGCCTGGGGGCCAGTGTACAGGAAGTGGTCCTCCACTTGTCCTCCTCGACTCCCTCACATCCCTAGTTCAATGACTGCTGTGATCCCATGAGGTCCTTGGGGTTCTTAAGTACCCTGACAATGCAAATGGATCTAGTGCTGTGCTTTGAATCCTCTGTTACCCCCAACCTCTGCCCCATAGGTGCCAGGGACCTCTCCCAGATGGTCCTGGCAGTTGATGTGTCCCAAGGCTTGGGGCAGCTGAGGCCCTCAGAACACATTTTAACCTGAATCAGCAGCAGCCCCAAGAGGCTGAAGAGTGGATGGTGTTGATTGTAGGCCTGGGCAAGGTGACATGAAGGACAGTTTGGCATCAGGGTCTTAAGGATCCCTCAGGAACAGTGGGGCCTATGTTGGGCTGAACTTGGAAGTTTTTTTTTTTTTTTTTTTTTTTTTTTACAGGCAGAATGGACAGTGAGAGAGAGAGACAGAGAGAAAGGTCTTCCTTTGCCGTTGGTTCACCCTCCAATGGCCGCTGTGGCCAGCGCACCGCGCTGATCTGAAGGCAGGAGCCAGGTACTTATCCTGGTCTCCCATGGGGTGCAGGGCCCAAGCACTTGGGCCATCCTCCACTGCACTCCCTGGCCACAGCAGAGAGCTGGCCTGGAAGAGGGGTAACCGGGACAGAATCCGGTGTCCCGACCGGGACTAGAACCCGGTATGCCGGCGCCGCAAGGCAGAGGATTAGCCTATTGAGCTGCGGCGCCGGCCTGGAAGATTTATTAATGAGGCCGGTGCTGTGGCCCAGAAGGTTGTCTCTGTCTGCAATGCTGGCACCAGTTCAAGTCCTGGGTGCTCCACTTCCCATCCAGCTCTCTGCTACTGTGCCTGGGAAAGCAGTGGAGGTTGGGCTAAGTTCATGCAGGGCCCCTGCATCCACGTGGGAGACCGGGAAGAAACTCCTGGCTCCTGGCTTCCCATCAGCCCTTCTTCTCAGTGACTTGAAGTTCTGGGTCATCTCTAGGATCCCTGAGACCCCCCAGACTAATCACGTGACCAGCAGTAGCCTCTGTATGACCAGCTCCTAGATCCTACAGATGGACTGCCTCCCTCTCCCCCTCCCCCTTTGCGAAGCGGGCGATTCCCGGAGGATCGAGGAAGGCCCAGCTTTCTCTCCCGGGCCTGCAGCGTCGGCTGCTCCTCGTTGCCCACGGATAGAACCTTCACGGCTAGGGCGGTCCAAAGCAAGAAGCAGCTAGCCCTGAAGACTGGGCCTTCGGGGCCTCTCGACCCCGCCCCAAACTCCGCTCCCAGGGGCCTGGGTGGGGCGCACGCCCCTGGCCGCGCGCATTCCAAGCCGGGCTCCGGCGCTCCCGGAAGGCTGGAAAGTCCGGAGCGAACTACTAGCGCAAGATTCGGTTTCGCTCGCTGCAGCTCCGTTCCAGTGTTCGAGAGTCTGTTTCACACCAAGAAACTGAGGCTGCGCTTCTCACGCCTACTTGCCGTGGCGACTGGGGGCGGCGGAGACCCGGAAAGTCAGCCTTGAGCAGGCTGTGACGTCCCCATCTCTTCCCCAGCCGGCGTGTGTCCCGGTTCTCCGGCTGGCCCCAGGGCCCTGAACAGGGCAGTTTGCTGCCTCTACCTAGGCGGGAGCCCTGGGACGCGACAGCTCACTTGATGGCGATTTTCTAAGCGCCTGTGACACTGAGGACGATGGCTAAAGGCTCCTCGGCCCTGGGCTCCACATCTCGCGTATCAGATCCCTGCCATTTGCTCCTGTCGTGCCCCCCTGACTTCACGCGCCCCCTGCCTGCGGTGGCCTAAAGCGCCAAACCTTCCTCCGCCCGCCCGCGGGGGTCTGGGCCTGGCGGTCCCACAGTAAAGATTTGTGGGTGAGGGGGCTCGTGTCTGGTTCCCGGGAAGAGGGCTGTTTCCGGAGGGCAGGGATAGGGTGAAGGCAGCCTCTGCCCGGTGTAGCATTCCTGCACGGGATCCACTCCGTGGTTTCCTTTCGGCTCCGCTTCCCAACTTTGCTCCAAGTTGCCAGACTCTGGGCTGGTGTAGGGACCGCTGAGTGGACCCGGCCCCGACTGAGAGCCTGGAGGGAAACCCACCCGTTCAGAACCCACACCGGCAGGGTCAGCACGGGCCCCGAAGAGAAGAGGCGCGCTCAGGGCCCTGGATCCTTCGTCTCCCCTCATCCCTGTTCCCTTCCTCTTCAGGATGGAGTGGGCCTCAAGGGAACAAGGGAGGGGCCGGCAGGGACAGTCAGTGCCCTGGGAGCTCCGACTGGGCCTGCTGCTGAGCGGTGAGGGGGCCTGCTGAGGGCTGGGCTGTGTGGGATGTGATGGGAGGCCTGGGGTAGCTGCTACAGGGGCACACAGGGTGGGGCTGCCAGGCCACAGCCCTGCAGAGCTGACTGACCCACCAACTCTAGTGCTGGCTGCTGCACTGGCCCAGGCCCCGGTCCCTGATGTGCCTGGCTGTTCTCGCGGAAGCTGCTACCCAGCCACGGGTGACCTGTTGGTGGGCCGCGCCGACAGACTGACTGCCTCATCCACCTGTGGCCTGCACGGCCCCCAGCCCTACTGTATTGTCAGTCACCTGCAGGTGCTGCTGTGGGTGGGGTGGGAGGCTGGGTCCGGGTGGGGCTGGCCCTGGCTCAGGCACTGATCCTAACGCCTGTCCGACCCAGGACGAGAAGAAGTGCTTCCTGTGTGACTCCCGGCGCCCCTTCTCTGCTCGAGACAATCCACACAGCCATCGCATCCAGAACGTAGTCACCAGCTTTGCCCCACAGCGTCGGTCAGCCTGGTGGCAATCCGAGAATGGTGAGGCCGTGGAGTGAGTGGGGGCATGGAGCGAGCAGGGCTGCCCACCAGTAGCCTCGAACTCCTGACCTCCAACTCCTGCCCCAGGTATCTCTATGGTCACCATCCAGCTGGACCTGGAGGCTGAGTTCCATTTCACACACCTCATTATGACCTTCAAGGTGCCGGCATGTCTGGGAGCCTACCCGAATCACCCTGCTTGGCTCTCCATTGCCCTGGGCAGAGCCCCCACCCCAGCCCAACGTGCCTGAGCTCACATGTTGCGCTCAGGCTGCATGGGGGTGGGGGTGGGGCTCCTTCACCCCGCCACTTTCTGTTGCTGTGTACCTCCAGGACTTTGCACATGCTCTTCTGCTGCCCCAATCCCAGGCTGGGCCAGGGGCTGTCTCCCTGGGCCCTGTGACCCCTGAGCCTACCCTCTCTGGTCGCTGCTTGGCTTCCCTTGTGGCCCTCGCCTGTCTGTGAGCTCTTCGAGGGCAGTCCCAGGCTGAGCAGGGTTCTCAATGGCCCCGGGCTGGGCTTGGGTCCTGGTGCTCACTGATCAGCCATGCCCCCCACCCAGACATTTCGCCCTGCTGCCATGCTGGTGGAGCGCTCGGCAGACTTCGGCCGCACCTGGCACGTGTACCGATATTTCTCCTATGACTGTGGGGCTGACTTCCCAGGAGTCCCGCTAGCCCCTCCGCGGCACTGGGATGATGTAGTCTGTGAATCTCGCTATTCAGAAATTGAGCCATCCACTGAAGGCGAGGTAAGGGCTGGGGTCTGTGTTGGGCAGGGGAGAATGATGGGTCTGAGCCAGGGTCCAATGTCTCCCTTCTTTCCCTCTAGGTCATCTATCGTGTGCTGGATCCTGCTATCCCTATCCCAGACCCATATAGCTCACGGATCCAGAGTGAGTGCTCCACCCTTTGTGCCTGGCACAGTCCCAGCGTCCGGCTGGGGACTATTTGGGGCCTCAGTAACTATTTTGGGTGCTTCCTAGGACAGATGCCAAACCCAGTTTAGCTGGAGTAGCAGTAGACAGGAGGTCTCCCAAGGTGACCTTGGCAGCTGCAGCCCCTAGGTAGGCATGGGGCAGCAAGGGCCTGCCTGACCAGTTGGCTCTAACCCTTCCTCCCAACTCAGACTTACTGAAGATCACCAACCTACGGGTGAACCTAACTCGGCTACACACACTGGGGGACAACCTGCTCGACCCACGGCGGGAAATCCGAGAGAAGTACTATTATGCCCTGTATGAGCTGGTTGTGCGTGGCAACTGCTTCTGCTATGGACATGCCTCAGAGTGTGCACCTGCCCCAGGGGCACCAGCCCATGCTGAGGGCATGGTAAGGGGCTTCAGACGATTGGGAGAGGGCTAGGGGCAGGGACTGGCATGGTTAAACGGTGCCAACAACCTACCTGCCCACATCAACAGGTGCATGGGGCCTGCATCTGCAAACACAACACCCGTGGCCTCAACTGTGAGCAGTGTCAGGATTTCTATCATGACCTGCCCTGGCATCCAGCTGAAGATGGCCACAGCCATGCCTGTAGGAGTGAGTAAGACCCCAGCCCCTGTAAGCCTCCAGACTCTGTAGGCTGGCCATGCCCTACGTGGTTCCCAGGGCTGGGAGGTCAAGCCCTAGCACCCAGGCTGTGTCCAAAGGGTTTCCAGGCCTTGATGACCCTGGAGACCCCTTGAGTCCTCCTCTGCAATCTGCTCTATGTGGGGGCTTGTATGACGCTGAGACCTTGAGGCCCCGGAGTTCCCACCCACAAACTCTGGCTTGTGGCAGGGATGTAAGATGGCACCAGGGTTCCTGTGTCCCTTACCCTTGAGACCTGGTCTTCCAAGTAGCCTTGCCCTGTCTTTTCTCCTCCACCAGAATGTGAGTGCCATGGGCACAGCCACAGATGCCACTTTGACATGGCCGTATACCTGGCGTCCGGCAATGTGAGTGGAGGGGTGTGTGACGGATGTCAGCATAACACAGCTGGGCGCCGCTGTGAGCTCTGCCGGCCCTTCTTCTATCGAGACCCAACCAAGGACCTGCGGGACCCAGCCGTGTGCCGCTGTGAGGCTGGGGTTGGGTTTGGGTTTGGGGGAGGGAAATCTGAGCCTGGGGCAGGAACTGGGGAACCAGATTGCTGTCCAGGATACAGGGAATTGTGGTGGGTAGCTTGGCTCAAAGCCAGGCCAGCGGTCCAGGGTGAGGGCTTAGAGGAGGCCTGGTGCTAGCCTACTTGAGGTAGCTGACTCTGCACATCTTATTTTATCCCCAGCCTGTGATTGTGACCCTATGGGTTCCCAAGATGGCGGCCGCTGCGATTCCCATGATGACCCTGCACTGGGGCTGGTCTCGGGACAGTGTCGCTGCAAAGAACACGTGATGGGCACTCGCTGCCAGCAGTGCCGGGATGGCTACTTTGGGCTCAGTGCCAGCGACCCACAAGGCTGCCGGCGTATGTGTGCCTCCTGCCCTGATTGCTGGCTGACCTTGAACCCCGACCCCTCCTGCCTTCCAAAGTCCTGATGGGCCTCCTTCCCTGCAGGCTGTCAGTGTAATGCACGGGGCACGGTGCCTGGCTCCACCCCCTGTGACCCCAGCAGTGGATCCTGTTTCTGCAAACGTCTAGTGACTGGACGTGGCTGCGATCGCTGCCTGGTGCGACTGGAGGGGGCTGGGGCCGTGGGCTCATCCTCGGAGCAGAAGACTCCATGGGGGGGAGCAATGTCCATGCCCCAGTGGGTGGGGTGCTGAGAGCCTAGGACCCAGTCCTGGCTGACAAGCTTCAGGGTTGGGAGGCCAAGCGTGTGGGCCAGGGACCTGGCAGCCATATCTTCGCCAAGGGACAGTAGGTGCGGAGAGGTGTGGCTGGATTCCCTGCTGGGTAGCCAGGGGATCTGTTTCTGACCCCCAGCAACCTCTCTCCCTCAGCCTGGCCACTGGGGCCTCAGCCACGACCTGCTTGGCTGCCGACCTTGTGACTGCGATGTGGGTGGTGCCTTGGATCCCCAGTGAGTGCTGTGAAAGGGGCTTGGAGAGAAGGGCAAGAGTGGGGGTCCTTCCTGAGTAACCATGACACTTGTCCAGGTGTGACGAGGCCACAGGTCAGTGCCGCTGCCGCCAGCACATGGTTGGGCGACGTTGTGAGCAGGTGCAGCCTGGCTACTTCCGGCCCTTCTTGGACCACCTAACGTGGGAGGCTGAGGATGCCCGAGGGCAGGTGGGAACACCAGCAGAGGGCAGGGTGTGGGTGGGACAATGGCCAGAGAAGTGGGGTTATGGGTGGTGGTGTTATCCATCCCCAGGCAAGGCCTTGGTAGGGGGTTAGGGGCTGGCTGCGTCAGAAGATGTGGTGCCTCCCTGAGCCCTTTCCCCTGCTTCAATGCCTCCCAGGTGCTGGATGTGGTAGAGCGCCTGGTGACTGCCGGGGAGACTCCTGCATCCTGGACTGGCCCAGGCTTTGTGCGGCTTCGCGAAGGTCAGACGCTGGAGTTTGTGGTGACCTCTGTGCCGAGGGCCATGGACTATGACGTGCTGCTGCGCTTGGAGCCCCAGGTGAGACTGTGTGATCACAGACCTGCAGCTGAATCTCTTAATGTGGGAACATCTCCTCCATCAACCTGTTTCCTCAGGTCCCCCAGCAGTGGGCAGAGCTGGAACTGACTGTGCAGCGTCCGGGGCCTGTGTCTGCCCACGGCGTGTGTGGGCATGTGCTGCCCAAGGATGACCGCATCCAAGGGATGCTACAACCAGACGCCAGGTGGGCTCACTAAAGGCAGTGGTGACGGGTTGTGGGGCAGCCCTGGATCCCTTCGGAGCAGCTGAGACCCCACTGGGCATTCATCTCTTCCTTCAAATCTTCCTCCTGAGTGCTGTTTGCCAGGCACTGTTGGGTATGGCACTGGTCACAGGAAGGAAGCAGACAAAACAAGGCCAAAGGTCAAGGCAGGCACTACTGAGAAATCAGTGTCGTTCCACGGAGGGCACTTGGTGGTGGCGGCGGATGGGGGAGTGGCAGCGTCACAGCACTCTGAGCAGGAAGTGACTGGTCTGATTAATGTTTTATATTTTGGGTGGCATTTGTTCCACGGATCTTTTCCATCCCTGCACCGCTTCACACAAACAGGAAGCAGACTGAATAGCATAAGGAACCTGGCTGTACCCATTAGAGACATTCTGCTAGCTGTGAGGTGAACAGAGAGCCCTCTGAACTGGAGCGCAGACTTAAAGGGGCCAAAGTGGAAGCTGGACTATCTGCGAGAGGCTGCAGAGTTGGCCGAGTGACAGTTGGCTGAAGAGAGATGTGGCGGTGGAGGTGGTGATTGGAGGGAAGGATCCCGAGGAGTCTAGCCGCAGAGCTCGTGGCTTAGACATGTAGGGGACGGAGAGAAGGTGGAAAGATGACTCTAGGGTCTTTAATCTCGCCACCTGAATAGGGGTGGAGCTCTTAATTTTATTTTTTTTAGTATTTATTTATTTATTTAAAAATTTGTTTATTTATTTGAAAGGCAGAGTTACAGGCTTGCGGAGGCAGAGAGAGAGAGAGGGAGAGAGGTCTTTCATCCGCTGGTTCACTCCCCAAATAGCTGCAATGGCTGGAGCTGAGCCAGTCTGAAGCCAGGAGCCTGGAGCTTCTTCCAGGTCTGCCACAGGGGGAGGCAGGGGCCCAAACACTTGGGCCATCTTCCACTGCTTTCCCAGGCCACAGCAGAGAGCTGGATCAGAAGTGGAGCAGCTGGAACTAGAACTGGTGCCCATATGGGATGCCAGCACTGCAGGCAGCGGCTTTACCCGCTACGCCACAGCACCGACTCTGGGGTGGAGCTCATTACTGAAACAGACATGGGAAGGAGCCATTCTGAAGTACTTACACGGGGGAGAAGGCCAGTCGTGTTTGGATTACAGGGAGGAGTCAAATTAGATGTAGAAATTTAGGAACTACTTCTTAGTAGTAGGAAATGGCGTGGCATGACCAGAGGCAGAAAGGAGGATCCGACCAAGCTTGGGGTACTCTGGTGTTGCTGCACAATGGAAAAGGAGGAACCGGGGAAGAGGGGAAAGCAGCACAGCGGACAGAGGCCCAGCAGCTAAGAGAAAACGAAAGTGTGAAGAAGGAAAGGACATCGATCTCATTGCACACTGCTAAGTGCTGGAGTCACAGAAGAACAGAGAAGTGGCTCCTGGCTTCAGCTACACGGAGGGCATCGGCAACTTGGGCACAGGATGGGGCAGAAAGAGACAGAATGGGAGCCTAGAAAGTAGAGTTGGTGACTGCTGTGGTCTCTTTATTAACGTGCGAGGCAGGAAAACAAAGACGAGTGGAAGCTAAGAGAAAACTCAAAGGATTGAAGGAGATTTTTTGTTTTTGTTTATTTATATTTGTTTATTTGAAAGGCAGAGTTACAGAGAGGCAGAGGCAGAGAGAGAGAGAGAGAGAGAGGTCTTCTATCCTCTGGTTCACTCCCCAGATGGCCACAATAGCCAGAGCTGGGCCAATCTGAAGCCAGGAGCCAGGCACTTCTTTCGGATTTCCTATGTGGGTGCAGGGGCCTAAGCACTTGGGCCATCCTCTGCTGCCTTCCCAGGTGCATTAGCAGGGAACTAGATCAGAAATGGAGCAGCCGGGACTTGAACCTGTGTCCATATGGGATGGCGGCACTGCAGGCGGCGGAATTACCTGCTGTGCTGCAGCGCTGGCCCCAGGCTTTGTTTTTAGGGGGCTAAGAGTCTGAGCATGAGTTTGCAGAATGATAGGAATGACTTAAGAGATAGAGGGAGTGACACAACCTTAGTGAAGAGAAGCCCAGACTTGACGTTGTAGGTTTGGAGGAGAGAGAATGTGAAATGGTTAAGAAAAATTGGCAAGCCTTTGTGCTAGGGAAACCCTGTGGGGTTGCCAGGCTGGCTGAGTGTTTCTATTGGGGTGGGTCTGCACAGCCATGCAGTGATTCCATCCAGCACCATCAGTGCGTAGCAGCCATACAGGCCTTCAGCCTGACCCAGCTGTAGCCTCTGCCTTTGCCAAGTTTTGTTGCTGTGAAAGGGGTGGGAGGAGCTCCCGATGATGGGTTACAGGGACCTTGAATGACCCCCCCATACCTGCAACTGCTTCCCCCAGGTACCTGGTATTTGCCAATCCTGTCTGCCTTGAGCCTGGCATCTCCTACAAGCTGCTTCTGAAGCTGGTGCGAACAGGGGGACGTACCCAGCCTGCGAGCCCCCACTCTGGACCTGGCCTGCTCATTGACTCGGTGAACAATCTCCTTGCCCACATCAACCAAGATGGCAGGCCTGTGGGCTGGGCCTGGTGGTGCTGGTGACTGGGAGGGGTCTGAGGCCCGAGAGGCAGGCCCACGGCAGTGCCAGTGTAGCCCCGGGTCTGAGCCACACTCTCCCTCACTCACCTTTCAGCTGGTGCTGCTGCCCCGTGTCCTGGTGCTAGAGATGTTTAGCGGGGGTGACGCTGCTGCCCTGGAGCGCCGTGCCACCTTTGAACGCTACCGCTGCCGTGAGGAGGGTTTGCTGCCCAGCAAGAGTCCTCCCTCCGAGGCCTGTACCCCCCTCCTCATCAGCCTGTCCGCCCTGATCTACAACGGTGCCCTGCGTGAGTGTCTGTTTCCCTGGGATGGCGGGGCAGAGTGGGGGCCCAGCATGACTTGGCCCTGACCCTTTCCCCACAGCCTGTCAGTGCGATCCTCAAGGCTCCCTGAGCTCGGAGTGCAACCCCCACGGTGGGCAGTGCCTGTGCAAACCTGGAGTGGTTGGGCGCCGCTGTGACCGCTGTGCCCCTGGTTACTATGGCTTTGGCCCCACTGGTTGTCAAGGTACTTGCATGTGTCTCGTCCTCTCCAGTTCTCTCCCCTTCCCACTGCAGTTCTGCCTCCTCCCGTTGGCTCTAACTCCGCCTTGAACCCTATTCCCTAAGCCCTGGGTCACTTGCAGTTCTCTTCCATTCCCTGAGCTTCCCACCCCGACCCTGACCAGACTCCCGTCAGACCCCTTGTCTCAGCTCCGCCTCTGCCCTGCCCCCAGCCTGTCAGTGCAGCCCCGAGGGGTCACTCAGCGGCCTGTGTGAAGGGACCAGTGGGCAGTGTCCCTGCCGGCCTGGTGCCTTTGGGCTTCGCTGCGACCGCTGCCAGCGTGGCCAGTGGGGATTCCCTAGCTGCCGGCCATGCGTCTGCAATGGGCATGCAGATGAATGCGACACTCACACAGGCGCTTGCCTGGGCTGCCGGGATCACACAGGAGGTGAACACTGTGAAAGGTGAGCCTGGAGCACTAGGAGTGGGAGGGTAAGTGGGCAGGCTGCCGGGGGTGACACAGCTCTTCCCCTCCCTGCAGGTGCATTGCTGGCTTCCATGGGGACCCACGGCTCCCATATGGGGGTCAGTGCCGGCCCTGTCCTTGCCCTGAAGGCCCCGGAAGCCAGCGGCACTTTGCTACTTCTTGCCACCAGGATGGGTACTCCCAGCAGATCATGTGCCACTGCCAGGCAGGCTACACAGGTGAGTGGGCAGTGGGTAAGCAGGGGGTGAGAATGAGGTGGCTGGCCTGAGCACTCACGGCTCCCCCTTGATTGTGGGCAGGGGTGCGCTGTGACACTTGTGCCCCTGGGCACTTTGGCGACCCGTCAAGGCCAGGCGGCCGGTGCCAACCCTGTGAATGCAGTGGGAACATTGACCCCATGGATCCTGATGCCTGCGACCCACGCACGGGGCAGTGCCTGCGCTGTTTATACCACACAGAGGGGCCACACTGTGCCCACTGCAAGCCTGGCTTCCACGGGCAAGCTGCCCGCCAGAGCTGTCACCGTGAGTATTGGGTGTGGGAGGGGACGGTTTGGGTGGGGCTCTGCTGTTCAGGCTCCTCTTGACTGGTGTGCTTATCTCGGCTGGCGTAGGCTGCACCTGCAATCTGTTGGGCACAAATCCCCAGCAGTGTCCATCCACCGACCAGTGTTACTGTGACCCAACCACTGGGCAGTGCCCATGCCTCCCCAACGTGCAGGGCCCTAGCTGTGACCGCTGTGCCCCCAACTTTTGGAACCTCACCAGTGGCCACGGCTGCCAACCTTGTGCCTGCCACTTAAGCCGGGCCAGAGGCCCCACCTGCAATGAGGTACGGAACCCATCTTTGGATTCCTGGGTAGCTGGGGCCAGCTGCCTGCCTCACCTCAAGGGCTCAGCCTCCGGTGGACGCTCTGACCATTGTCCTGTTCCCACTCTAGTTTACCGGGCAGTGCCACTGCCTTGCTGGCTTTGGTGGGCGGACCTGTTCCGAGTGCCAGGAGCTCCACTGGGGAGACCCTGGGTTGCAGTGTCGTGGTAAGGCAGCCAGAGTGGCCAGGGTGGAGGGCAGACTTCCCGGGATGCCCACCAAGAGCCCTAATTCTGTGGTCTGCCCTTTCCTGCAGCTTGTGACTGTGATCCTCGTGGAATAGACACACCTCAGTGTCACCGCTCCACTGGCCACTGCAGCTGCCGCCCTGGCGTGTCTGGTGTGCGCTGTGACCAGTGTGCCCGTGGCTTCTCGGGTGTCTTTCCTGCCTGCTACCCCTGCCATGCATGCTTCGGGGACTGGGACCGTGTGGTCCAGGACTTGGCTGCCCGTACACGGCGGCTACAGCAGCGCGCACAGGAGCTACAACAGACGGGTGTGCTGGGTGCCTTTGAGAGCAGCTTCTGGGACTTGCAGGAGAAGTTGGGCACTGTGCAGACTATCGTGGGTGCCCGCAACGCCTCAGCTGCCTCCACTGCGCGGCTTATGGAGGCCACAGAGGAGCTGCGGTGCGGATGGGCCTGAGGATGCGTGGTGGGATGGGGTGGAAGCCCGATGGACTAGGGCTGAATCTCTAAGCACCCTTCCACCTCACTGATGCAGGCGTGAGATCGGGGCGGCCACTGAGCACCTAACTCAGCTGGAGGCAGAGCTGACAGATGTGCAGGATGAGAACTTCAATGCCAACCACGCACTAAGTGGTCTGGAGCGAGATGGGCTTGCACTGAATCTCACCCTGCGGCAGCTTGATCAGCATCTGGACCTGCTCAAGCATTCAAACTTCCTGGGTGAGTTGCCGGTCAGCTGGGCAGGTAGACCGGGATGGATCTTCAGCTGAACGCCTGCCTCGGTCCAACTTAGGTGCCTATGACAGCATCCGCCAAGCCTACAGCCAGTCTGCAGAGGCAGAACGTCGTGCCAACACCTCAGCCCTGGCAGTGCCCAGCCCCGTGAGCAACTCAGCAGAAACCAGGCGCAGGACAGAAGCACTGATGGCTGCCCAGAGAGAAGACTTCAACCGTAAACACCTGGCCAACCAGCAAGCCCTGGGCGAGCTCTCTGCCCGTACTCATGCCCTGAGCCTGACAAGCATCAATGAACTGGTGAGGTGCAAGCACAGGGTGGGACAGGTAGGCACGGATATTCTTCCCGCAGGTTCCTGACCTGTTTTGTGCCCTGGCAGGTGTGTGGGGCCCCGGGAGACGCACCTTGCTCCACGAGCCCTTGTGGTGGTGCCGGCTGTCGGGATGAGGACGGGCAGCCCCGCTGTGGGGGCCTCGGCTGCACTGGGGCAGCAGCCACAGCAGACCTGGCGCTGGGCCGGGCCCGGCACACACAAGCAGAGCTGCAGCGGGCACTGGTAGAAGGCGGCGGCCTCCTCAGCCGAGTGGCAGAGACTCGTCGGCAGGCAGGCGAGGCACAGCAGCGGGCCCAGGCAGCCCTGGACAAGGCTAATGCTTCCAGGGAGCAGGTGGAGCAGGCCAACCAGGAGCTTCGAGAACTTATCCAGAGTGTGAAGGACTTCCTCAGCCGTGAGCCTCCCTCGTGGCCCAGGCCAAGTGGTTGTTTTCCCCATGTCTGTGTCTCCCCGGGTTCATCCTTGGGCCTCAGGGCCTGCACTGGACCTGTGTTTATGACCCCCTGTGTGGCCCCTGAATCCTCGCCCATATGTGGTTCCCAAGTCTATGTCCCTGAGTCTGTGCCCCTGTATAGTCTCTATCCCAGTGGTTGTAGCCTTATGCCTATTAGCAACCCCCTCTCCCATGTGTGGCCCCTGAGTCCACATCCCAAGATTGTGTTCCCCATTTCTGTGCTGGAGAATCTGTGTCCTTAAGCCTTGCCTGTGTCCCCATAGAGGAGGGGGCTGATCCTGATAGCATTGAGATGGTGGCCACACGGGTGCTAGAGCTCGCCATCCCAGCCTCACCTGAGCAGATCCAGCACCTGGCAGGTGCGATCGCAGAGCGAGTTCGGAGCCTGGCGGATGTGGACACAATCCTGGCGCGTACAGTGGGAGACGTGCGCCGGGCTGAGCAGCTGCTGCAGGACGCACAGCGGGCACGGTCTGACCCCAACCCTGGCCCCTGGCCCTGACACCTGGTCCCGATACCTGCAGGCCCTGAATTCCTCCCTTTTTTTCCCCAGGAGCCGGGCTGAGGGTGAGAAACAGAAGGCAGAGACAGTACAGGCGGCACTGGAGGAGGCTCAGCGGGCGCAGGGTGCTGCCCAGGGTGCTATCCGGGGGGCAGTGGCTGACACACAGGACACAGAACAGACCCTGCGCCAGGTGTGGTCTCTGTGGGACGTCAGTGGGGGTGGATTTATGGGCACGCACCATCGATACTTAGCCCTGGGCCTACTCCTGGCAGGTACAGGAGAGGATGGCAGGCACAGAGCAGGCACTGAGCTCTGCAGGTGAACGGGCTCGGCAACTGGATTCCCTTCTGGAGGCTCTGAAACTGAAGCGGGCAGGAAATAGTCTCACAGCCTCGACGGCTGAAGAAACAGCAGGCAGCGCCCAGGGCCGGGCCCGGGAGGCTGAGCAGGTGCGCCGAGGCACAGGAGGTGGGGGGGAGGCTGGGCCTCCACTGGGCTGCCCTGCTGATCCTGCCCTGTGTGTCTGCAGCTGCTGCAGGGCCCGCTGAGTGACCGGTACCAGACGGTGCGGGCCCTGGCCGAGCGCAAGGCGGAGGGTGTGCTGGCCGCACAGGCGAGGGCAGAGCAACTTCGGGATGAGGCTCGGGGCCTGCTGCAGGCCGCCCAGGACAAGCTGCAGCGGCTACAGGGTGAGGAGCAGTAGGGCGGGTAGGAGCCAGGGATCCGGGACAGTGGGAGTGGGACCCCTAAACGGATACCCACCTCTCCTAGAACTGGAGGGCACCTACGAGGAGAACGAGCGAGCGCTGGAGGGCAAGGCGGCCCAGCTGGACGGGCTGGAGGCCAGAATGCGCGGTGTGCTGCAAGCCATCAACCTGCAGGTCCAGATTTACAACACCTGCCAGTGACGCCTGCCGGGGCCCGCCTGTCCCCTGCCCCACTCCGCACGCCTGTCTGCCCACGCACTACAGCGAATAAACCAGCGTGAACCCTCACTGTGCTGTCTGGACTCTTGATTTCGGGGGCGGGCGAGGATCTCTGGGCGGGACCTCAAGGCTGCCACCAGCAGGGCTCACGCACGGCCGAGGCCCTGGAGCCCCGCCTCCAACGCTCGGGGCGGACCCGAGTGCCGGTCGCCGAGAGCCGGCTCCCGCCGGAAGTGCGTCACCGTGTCGGCGCCCCGCCTCCCGCGGCCGTAATTAGAAGTCGAAACAAAACAAGCGGCTTAGGTGGTGGCGGTAGAGCCGGGACGGGGGAGGGGCGCGCCGGAACCGGAACCGACCTGACGCCGGAACCGGAACCGACAGCGGGTTGCCAGGGCCTGGAGAGGGCTGGCGGCGGCTGTCTCGCTCGGTGAGTGGGGCGGGCCGCAACTCGCCGGTTTGGCCGAAGCGGGGAGGCGGCGGCGCGGGTCCCGGAGCAGCCTGCTCAAGGTCACGGGCCGTGCCAGCCCCGACCCCTCGAGCCCCGCGGCGAGTGGGACCCACCGATGCGGGCAGGGCCGTTACGCTACCCCCGTGGCCGGTCTCCCGCCTCGGCGAGGGCTGGCGGCGGGCGAGGGCGGCTTCCTGGAGGAGGTGATGGTGGGCCTGGGGTTTGGAGGCCGGAGCTGGGTCACAGCCCAGGCGGGGCGCTGTTTCTGTGGTCGGTAACTCCGCGCAGCAGTTATCTGGCCGGCGCGGGTTCCTAAACAGCCCCCTTTCCTCCTCCTCGTCCCTGGAGCATGGGGGAGGGTCGCGACCTTCGGCTGGGGGACCGGGTTCGAGGAGGCGGCGGGTGTCTGCTCCTCAGCACTGGACCTTCCGTCACTAAAGATCCAGCCCAGCAGTGTCGCATCTGACCCGTAGACGGGTATCCCACCCCTCCCCCCGTACACACTCTGAGAGGAGCAGACTAGTCACTTGAGAACTTCATCTTGGATGGAGAAGCAGCCCAGAATCCACCGGCAGGTGTGTGGGAAACTGGGTAGGAAGTCCCCGCGGATGCCCGCCGTGCCTTGGCCCTGGAGCGGGATGGCCGCTGAGGGGGCTCTGTGATGATCTAGCTGCTTTCCGCAGCCCCTCTGTGTTTTGAGGCAGCAGGTGGGGAGAGGAAGATACCTTGGACTGAAGAAAGCCAAGCAGTGCATAGGAGCAGGTTCACGGGCAAGGCGGGAGCTGGCAGGAGGCAGGTGGGGCATCTTAGCCCCATGGGCAGTGACAGCACCTGGGCTGGGCCTGCTGCTGCTTGCTGGCCTTCTTCTGCCTTCCTCCTCCACCTTCTCCCTCTCCAGTGGTGACTAAGCAGCCAGGGAGAGTGAAGGAAAAGTGAGTGCCAGCTCTGTGGGCTGGAGCCGTGGCTCCTCTCCAGAGGAGGAGCCTGGGCCCAGGCCAGAGCTGCCTTGACCTGGCACCTCCTCCGCGAGGCTTCCAGTGTCGTGGGTCTGTTACAGCAGGTATCAAGGAGGCTTGGCCGGAAGTAGTGGCTTCGATTGGTTATTTATCCCTTCTTCAGGACAGCCTAGGAATGTCCTGGGCAAGTTCAGGCAGGTGCTGTGTAGGGTTAGGGGTGTCCTGGGCTGGTGAGCCCCGGCTGTAGCCAGGGAGCAAGTTGTTGGGCCTTGGCAGTGATCTCTAGTCCCTTTTGGTTAGGCTGTCGGTTCCTTACTGAAGAATTTGGCCACAAAGAGTTGCCAAGATAGCTGGGCCAGGAAGAAAGCGCCGCAGCCCTGACCCAGACGCTGTTGCCGACCCCGGGGCACTCTGGCTGTCATCCAAGCGGCTCAAGATGTCTGGCGGGGCCAGTGCTACGGGCCCGAGGAGAGGGCCCCCCGGACTGGAGGAGGCCACTAGTAAGAAGAAGCAAAAGGATCGAGCAAACCAGGAGAGCAAGGATGGAGATCCTAGGAGAGGTGGGAGCGGCCTTCTCTTTCTCCCTTCTCATTGGGCACGCAAGTTGGGGGTTGGGAGATGTCTCTCCTTGGCTGGTGCTGAGAGAAGGACTCAAGGCAGGCTTGGTAGAGCCTTGGTTTTGAGGCCTGGGTGTTTGGCTGAGGTCCGTAGGATGGTACTTGGTGAGTTGGTGGGGTCTTGGAGGCCGCTCTCCGCCCATCATTGTCTTCCTTTCTTTGTCTTGTCAGGATCCCTGTCTACTCCACGAGAGGAGCAGCCCAAAGAGGGTGAGTAATGGATAGAGCTTTGGGTGCTGGAGGGGTGGGGCCCTGGGAACGTGGCTCCCGTCTTGAGCCGTCCCACTCGGGCTGGAGCTCTGTTAACTTGTTTATCCCCATCAGAAACATGTGGCGCCTCTGACCCCTTCCCCACTTCTCCTACAGAGCTCTTGCTTGATTGGAGGCAGAGTGCAGACGAGGTGATTGTCAAGCTGCGTGTGGGAACAGGTCCCCTGCGGCTGGAGGAGGTGGATGCTGCTTTCACAGACACGGACTGTGTGGTTCGGCTTCCAGGTGTGTCCGTCTGCTCTGAGCACAGCAGTGTATCTGAATTCTCCGGGCTTTGCCCCCCAGCTCACTAGCCTTGTTCTGTTTCCAGGCGGTCGGCAGTGGGGTGGTGTCTTTTACGCTGAGATAGAAAGTTCTCGCGCTAAAGTACAGCCCCGTAAGGGTGGCCTTCTACAGTTAGCGCTGCCCAAGAAGGTGCCTCTGCTCACATGGCCCTCTCTCCTGGTGAGTGTCAGGACAGGGGAGGGTGGGTATACCCAGAGTAGCTGACAGGCTCTGACTGGCGTATCTTTGGCAGAAGAAACCTCTAGGGACCCAGGAGCTGGTGCCGGGGGTGCAATGCCAGGAGAATGGGCAGGAGCTGTCTCCCATTCCCCTGGAGCCAGGCCCTGAGCCCCGCCGAGCTAAGCAGGAGGCCCGGAACCAGAAGCGGGCCCAGGGCCGTGGTGAGGTAGGCTCAGGGGCTGGCCCCGGGGCCCAGGCAGGGCCCAGCGCCAAGAGGGCTGTGCATCTCTGCAGAGGGCCAGAGGGGGAAGGGTCCAGGGATGGCCCTGGACCCCGGGGTGATGCCCCACCCTTCCTGGCTGACTCGGCCACCCAGGTGAGAGCTGGGTGCCTCTTTGGGTGTCAGGATATGGGGGAAGGGTATGGAGTGGAGGAGGGCCAGATATCTGCGGGACTCACCTCTGATTTTACCCACAATGTTGCCGTAAATAGGTTGAGGCTGAGGAACAGCTCCGCAAACCACTGCTGAACGCTGCAACCTGTCTGCTGGCCTCAGAGGAGAATTTAGCCCTTTTGGCAGGAGAGAAGGTGGTGTCCCCCGGAACTGACCCAGTCTCCCCAGCCATGGCCCTGGACAGAGACCTTGGGAAAGATGACCATGTCAAGGAGGAGATGGCAGCGGCTGCAGATGCTGCGACCTTGGTGGATGGTAAAGGTGGGGCTGGGCGTGCACAGAGCAGAGCCCTAGGTTTGGTTGCCAGGTTGGTGGGTGGGTGGAGAGAGGCATAGCAGCGGGCTGGGACCTTATCCTGGTGGCGCTGAGCTGTGGTCTCACCCTAGAGCCAGAGTCCATGGTGAACCTGGCGTTTGTGAAGAACGACTCGTACGAGAAAGGGCCCCATTCGGTTGTGGTGCATGTGTATGTGAAGGAGATCCGCAGGGACACCTCGCGAGTGCTTTTCCGGGAGCAGGACTTCACGCTCATCTTCCAGACCAGGTGGGTGAGTGGGCGGGTCGCGGGCAGACAGTGTGTCTCAGGCAGGGCGCATGTCTCATGCTCTGCCTCCTGCCCTGCTTTGCCTGTGTAGGGACGGAAACTTCCTGAGGCTGCACCCAGGCTGTGGGCCCCACACCATCTTCCGTTGGCAGGTGAAGCTCAGGTGGGTGGTGCCCGGCCCCACCGGTGTGCTTGTCCTGCCCTGGGTTCCGTCTTCCTGCCCCGTCTGCCTGACACCTGCTCCACCTAAGTCCCTGAGTTCAGCCTTTTCTCACAGGAACTTGATTGAACCAGAGCAGTGCACGTTTTGTTTCACGGCCTCTCGGATCGACATTTGCCTCCGGAAGCGGCAGAGTCAGCGCTGGGGGGGCCTGGAGGCCCCGGCTACACGAGGTCTGCACACGAGCTCCCTTCGTTGCCCAGCCCTGCATGCCACGACCCCAGTTCCCTGCCACATGCTGCTAACCACCAGCCCTCTCATTCCCCCTTTTTAAGGTGCAGTGGGTGGTGCAAAGGTTGCCGTGCCGACAGGTCCAACCCCTCTGGATTCAACCCCGCCGGGAGGTGCTCCCCATTCCCTGACAGGCCAGGAGGAAGCCCGGGCTGTGGAGAAGGATAAACCCAAGACTCGATCTGACGACACGGGGCTGGATGGTGTGGCGGCCCGTACGCCCCTGGAGCATGTAGCCCCAAAGCCAGAGCCTCACCTGGCCTCGGTGAGAGTCTTGGGGTGGGAAGGGCCAAGAAGGGAGCTTGGAGAGCCTCGGGGCTGGCTGTTCTCTCATGTCTACTTTGCTCCCACAGCCCAAGCCCACATGTATGGTGCCTCCGATGCCCCATAGTCCTGTGAGTGGAGACAGTGTGGAGGAGGAAGAGGAAGAAGAAAAGAAGGTGTGCCTACCAGGCTTCACTGGCCTTGTCAATTTAGGCAACACCTGCTTCATGAACAGTGTCATTCAGTCTCTGTCCAATACTCGAGAGCTCCGAGACTTCTTCCATGGTGAGGTCGGGGACTGGAGCCTGGAGCGTGGGCAGAAGGGGTGTCTCTGTCCCTTACACCTTTGCTTCACTGCTCTTCCTAGACCGCTCCTTTGAGGCTGAGATCAACTATAACAACCCTCTGGGGACTGGTGGGCGTCTGGCCATCGGTTTTGCTGTGTTGCTCCGGGCACTGTGGAAGGGCACCCACCATGCCTTTCAGCCTTCCAAGTTGAAGGTGACCTGTGGCCGTCCTTGCCGTTGGCTGGAGAGGGCAGGGAGGGCCAGGCAGCTGTGTGTGCCGTGCACGCCATGGCTTCATGTCCATGTTTTGGTCCCTGTATCCAGGCCATCGTGGC